TTGAACAGAAGAGAAGCAACTCAAAGAGTTAGTGCGAGAAGGGGATGGTGGTAAGGACAGTATATGAAGGAAAGGACTTGGACCCAAAGCTGCATGCTGGAGCAATGAGCTGGTCGGTCAGGCAGCAAGCGCGAACCTCTGTGGCCCCAAACAGCATCGAGGTTGTCCTATATATTTGGCTAGACACCACAGTGCAGCAGAGACAAGAAGATACGACGGTGAGCGAACGTGGGTAGGGTAGCATACACTTAAGGTCTTGTCCGAGGCGGTGGAGACGACGGGTATCAAAATTACAAGAGGGTCCAGGATACCATCGATGCCATGATGCATGACATAATTGGGCTGGGGGTGGAAGAGGAATCATGGGGGGGTGCGTCTCCAGAAGATGCGGTTGCGCTGCGCTTGCAGGGGTGGAGTGATGGTATTGAGACTTTTGTCAAGTCATATATGAGAGATCTCGAAGAGAGGAAGAGAAGGATGTGCGGGAAAGGCGTAGGACGAGCAACGAGAGTGCCACTGTGCCTGTGCCACCTAGCTGGCGTGTACCAGACAGAGATTCGGAAACCGGGGAGACACAGACAGGCTACAAATAGAGCAGGATGGGCAAAATGATGGGAGAAGGGCCGCAACAAGATTACAAGGCCTCGTGGTCGGGCGTGGCCGTCCTTCTGGTACCGTTATTTAGATTGCCTAGCTTGCCCATCCTGATTCTGCTGCCCGTGAGCTAGTTAGTTCGGCGCGAGTCTGTTCTCAACTTCTCTGTCTGAATCCAGCCGTCGGCGACGACCGCCGACCCTTGGCGGCAGTTGACGATCAGGGTTGCAGGGAACAGGAATGATCCCTGCACGCCGCACCGCTACTTTCGCTCCTCTTCCTTTTCTTTTGTTCGTCCACCTTTTTTCTGCATCTTCCGAATGATTTCTCCACGCCTGGCCGGCCGTGCATGCAGGTCTTCGCGACGAGGTAGGCAGGGAGCAGGCATTCATTCTCTGGCCAGTGTTCCTGTTTGTGTCGATATGTGCTGGTGATGCTGCTTCAAGACGTGGACACTGTGATTGCCAGCCGCAATTCGTGTCTGTTGTTCACCGACCAATGTAAATGAATCTGTTGGGTCTGCGGCTGCAAGAGACGAATTATCCTGGACGATACGCCGTGGTCTGTACTGCAACGGCACCCTCGGTGCATACAGTGTTTGCTGTTCATTAGACGTCAGCCAGTCAAAATCCGGCGCAGAAGGACCTGTTTACTCCGATGAAGGTCGTCCAATTGGCCTTGAACGAAGATAATTGACCAACTTCAGCACGCGTGCGTCAAAAGAGTCGGACCGGTCTCCCGGATATCTAGCAGGAGCAGTTTTGCAGCGACCTGTTTCCCCGTATTATGACGATCCGAGGATGAAAGGAGCAGGTGAATTATGTCCGAGGGATGCAGGCCTACAAGGCTCGGTATACATCAAACCAGCCACAATGCGACGGTGGGAAATGATGGTTCTCTGAAAGGTGCTTGTGGCTTTGGGCTTTTGACAAGCACGTCCCCTTCTCGACGGGGAAGCTGAATAGAAGAATCCGCCGGGTGAGAATTCGCGGCCGCGGCGGTCTGACCTCCAGCAGTTGGTTTGAAGTCGTCGCTAATGGTCGGCGCTAGGCGTCGTGGGAAAAGAAAGCGTACCTGGAGAATCCACGAGGTTCCTTCCAGGCTAAGATGGGACGACACACAGCTGCCCGAGAAGCAGGAATTCTGCACTGCATTGCCAAACTCTAAAGCAACCTTCAGCTCTGCGCTGGCGAATGCGGGCTTGGTCTGGTATTCGAACGCTGTTGGTTGTGTTGTCGTTTGCATTCCCAACCTCGTGGGATCAGCTGTAGCTTGTCGGTCGAGCAAGCGGCTGTTGTACTTTACAGCCAATTTGAGTTGAACGTTACAGACAGTGCTCATCACACTGACGTGAAAATTGTGGATCGATAGGCGAGTGACATGCACTGAGACCCTCATCCGTCCACCCTTTGAGCGGCACAGCGGTATCTGGTGCTTTGGAACGGGTAGATCCCAGCTGATGCGCTGGGAAACTGGGTAAAAATAATGAATCACACACGGACACGCAAGGAGCAGCGTCTTCAGGCGGTGAAGTCGAGCGCAGAACAAGCCGGGCTGGGCAAAACATGTCGAGCGAGTCCAAACAAGGTATCCGTACGTGGACGAGATATAGACGGCCGTCTCAGTCGTAGGGTTGACCAGTAGCATAGCCATGCGACTCAGTGGCAGGGAACTGTCCAGTGAGCAGACATGTAGCGGCAGCTTGGCTGCGCGGGGGCCCACCCAAACGATGGAAACAGCCGACTGACACAGAGGGTCGGGTGGAGGAGATGGTTGCAGGTGACTGCATGCCACGCTGGCAGCACATAGTTGTACATGAAGCGGCCCTGAGGCCTGGGAAATCCGACGATTTGGGAGCATGAGGTCATTGACCGAGGGCCGTCGAGTTGGGTATTGATGAATAGCTGTCGGTCTGCGTGGCGTGACGGTGAAGATGCATTGTAGTATTGTTGGCGCATTGTTCGTTGAGATGCTGAGTTGTCCCGTGATATGTTGGGCCATCTCTTGTCTCTGGATACGTGGAGGCAGAGCGGGTGGTTTTTTTCGCCTCGCCGTCTCGGTCGCATCGGCCCACGAGAAAGAGAGAAGATCCATGGGTGTCCCATACTGACTAAGGCAGGTCGATCAACGATGTCAAGCCGAGAGAGAATACTCGAGCAATGATGGGCTCTATGGCTCCGTGGTGTGTCCGTGGGCATCCATCTCATCCCGCGTGGGCACGCCGCACCCTGCCAGTTCTGTAGGCTGTACGTACGAAGATATGCGGGCGTGCTCCGTATGTAAGTAACTTGCAGTAGTCGGTTCCGATGATTGGGCGCAGGCGATGGCTAAGTGAAAAAAACCCCAGCAAAGTCTAGTCAGTCAGGGTCGATACGCATGGCATGGCATCCTCCTGACTTCTCTGGCTTCCGCATCGGAGCGAGTGATGCGACGTTTTGGAGGGGTCGCGATGCTTGAAAATAGAATTGACTTTTTCCTAGGTACAAGGCAACGGCAGTCTTTGGACTGCTTGGGAGGTCGAGAAACGTGGGAGAAACGCGCTAGAACAGCCACGTCGCGCGAAGAAGAGATGAAGGGACGGGCGAGAGATTGGCGGGAGAGCAACAACAATAGGCGTTGATGACCTGGGTCGGCAGCCGTTGGTCGGATTTGTGCCTTGATGAAGCAAACAAAGTCCGGTCGAGAAGTGCGGGGTCAGTCCTGTTGAGCAGAAAAAAGTCGGACACGGTATGAAAGAAAAGACCCATCAACGGAGCGGAGACGGCTTCTGAGGGGAGGGGCAGCTGCGTGGTGGTGGGTTGAAGAAGCCGAATCCGGCCCCAGATGCAATGGAAGGGAAAAAGAAAAGAAGAAGAAGAAGCGGAAGTGCATGTCATTCTGCAGCCTTGGCGAGCTAGGGATCCGTAAGGTACCTTAGGTGCTGTAGTGTTCACTGTCAACGGAACTGAGTGAACCCTGAGGTGGGAATGCCAAAAGAACGTGGGCCCTTTCCTGCCCGACTGAGCTATCTTCCATTTTCTGCAAGTCCCCTGCCACACTAAGGCAAGTGCGAGGGCTCCTTCTTTCCTCCAGTGTGCCCGCAAACCGAGGATGGAAGGAGTGGATGGGGATATTCCTTCTGTTAGAAGAAAGGCAAAAGGAGTGGAAGGATTGAACACTGTGAAGGGGAAGCACCTACCTACCTTACTGACGGAAGGTAAGACGGTCTTGTTGAGAACGCAACTACCTTGTCTAAGGCACTTTGGGAAAGTGATTGCAAAATCCGTGCCTTCCAAGTCAAATGATTGAGATTCAGGAAATTACCTACCAAGGTAGGTAGTGATTGATGATGTCTTCCCCAAGGCAGGCAACGCGCCAAATCTCTCTCCATAGGTAGTAGCGAGACCGCAGTTAACTACTTATTGTACGCACCTGTGTTCTGTGTACGTTGCGGCCCGTCCTCACAGACATCCATCCCACTTTCCCTGCCCGTGGTCCCTCGCCGTCCATGGCCCCTCCCCGTCACCCACGTACCTACCTACCTACGGCCCGGCCGAAGAACGGGAGGGGTCGTTCAGGGACTTCCCGCGGCCAACCCCTCCGACCCGTCGTGGGATGCTGCCTTGGCGAGGATCGGCCCTGTCAAGTTTTCTCCCTCCCACCACTGGACCCGTGCACATATGCAGCGGCAAACACAACATCACACGCTCATCCCGGGCGCATGTTGGATGATTGTGAGTGTGCCTCAGCTTCAGAGAGGTGAAAATGACCTTTCAAGACATGGCATCGACGATTGGCGTCCTCCGCGCGGAGAAGTAGAAAGCACTCACGATCTACAAGAACCAAGTCCCCCTTTGTTTTGATACAGCCTTCCAGCCTCCTCTAACGCTCGGTGCTTATTCTTCCCAAACGTATCCAACACGCTGCAGTTGTAATCTACGGAAACAGATGCCACACTTGGCGAGGCAATCGTCCAACGTCGCTCGACCTGCCAAAGCGGAGTACAATCCCTGTCTACGTTTGATTCACCAACCAATCTCTGATCTCGGTCGATCCTGTCGTTGACCAGCAACCAATTGTGTCGGCCAGCATGTTGGAGCATTGCCTGATGTTGGTTCTCGTTCCGAGACTCCTTGTCGTTATATGGGCCCGTCGGTTTGGTCGCAAAGATGACAGGACAGGACAGCAAGACAATCGAACTGGCTTGATTCCCCACGATGTTTTCCCCCCTTCCCCTCTCACCATCTCTCCTCACCTTTGGCGAGGCACAATTCCAACCTTGAATGCCCTTTCAACCAAGTCCAATATCTACCCCGAGCCATCCCACCATAGTTCCACTCCGTGCCGTGTCAATCCCGTCAAAGAATCTCGCAACAGGCTAGTTTCCCCTCATTGGCTGCAGTTGCAAACTAACTAATCCTCCGTAGAACAGGGATACCCTCGCTTGGGCTCTGATACAAATCTTTGAGAGCAAACCGTGGACCTTCAAAGCACTCGCAAATATGTCCGCTGCTGACGCTCAGGCTCCTCAGCATCCCGCCGGCGCCATCGAAGCTGCAGATGAGCCCGTCGACCCGAGTGAATTTGATCCTGTTGAGTGGGACCGATCTTCCGCCGATTCGGCCTCACTCACCTCCAGTGTCCTCGATCACGAGTACGAGAATGGGCGTCGCTTTCACAGATTTCGACACGGTCGCTACCCAATGCCCAATGATGAGGACGAGCAGTCTCGTGAGGACACGAAGCATACTCTGATGCTTGAGCTACTTGTTAGTACCGACTCATCATATGCTTGACTGCGTCTGCGCCTCTAGAGCTGATGTTCCCCCATTCAGGACGGGCGTCTGTTTCTCGCTCCCCTTGGAGATGACCCTCAAAAGATTATAGACATTGGTACCGGTACCGGTGAGTCCACTCCGTTGAAGAGAAACCTGGTGCTCCTCGACGTCTGACAAGATCAACATAGGCAAGTGGGCAATCGAAGGTATTTCCTGGTGAATCGATCCACAAGGCCCATACGCTAATTCGTACGTGACAGTCGGCGACCTCTATCCAGGTGCATCTGTAATGGGGATTGATCTATCACCCATTCAACCTTCCTGGGCCCCTCCAAATGTGAAGTTCTTTGTGGACGATGCCGAGGATGAGTGGCTGAACGGCGACGATTACGACTTTGTCCATTTCCGTTCCGTAGCCCCGGCTCTCAGGAAGCTCGACTTCGTTCTGGAAGAAGCTTACAAGTGAGCTTTGCAACTAGATGACGCTACCCTGCTGCTAACGAAGTGTGTAGCCACATGAAACCCGGTGGTTGGATCGAGTTTCAAGAGTTGCACGGCCAGATCCATTGTGACGATGGCACTATGGCGGACGACGATAAACTTAAGGCATTCTACGAGCTCGTCGTCGAAGCCTTCCAGAATCTTGGCATGGACTTTCACAAGGCGCGGGACCTCCGTCCACACCTCGAAGCTGCTGGTTTCAAGAACATTCAGTGCGAGATAAAAAAGCTTCCTATAGGAACCTGGCCTAAAGATGGCCTCCAGCGTGTCATTGGAGAGTATTCGCGGCAGGCGATTAGTCTGGCGGCACCGGCATTCGCCGGTAAGCCATTTGAAGCAATGGGAATCTCGAAGGTAGATTCCCAAGTGTGGTGCGCAACCGTCAAGAAGGACATGGAGGACCTCAGCAAGCACCGTTACTACAACATGTTCTTCTGGTACGCTCAGAAGCCTAAGGATGCCCCCGTGCGGGACGACGGAGCCGGCTCATCAGGAGAGGATGACGCTTGATTGCCCAGGTCTAAGTAAATCATGTTGTAAACACGGTTGCAACAAGCCGACGGACGATGTCAATATACAAAACTTGAGGTCGAGATGATCCCCGAACAGTACAACGGTGGGGCCGTGGTGAATCGGTCAACTACCAGGACGACCAGTTTGAGGATTCATACTAGGCCAAATGAAATTTTCGTTCCACATTGGAAATGATACAGCTTGCATGCTGAATGTGCAGTGCGAAGCGTCCCAATTCTGACCATGTCTGCTTGACTATGTTGGTGAGAGCGTGGAAGCTGGTATCTGAGATGTGCAACTTCCAAGCAAGCCCCACAAGAGCTCCGGAGTGACGGTTCATAGTGATTGCTGACTAATTTTATGGGGTGATTCGCGGAAGCTTCTCGGAGTCGATGCGCGCTTGCGCATCGCAAGCTTGACCTTCCTACATCTTCAACCAAGCAACTCAAACCACAGGCAAGGCGTAAGAGTTCACCCAACCACAACTACCCACTTTCATCACTGTGAATTTCACGCAATTATGCTCCCTTGAACTCTAACTTCCACCCTCACAAAACCACCACGCGACATTAACAAATCAAACCGATCGCATCTCCCATTGTAAAAACCAGCGACAACCTCACCCGCGTCACCCAACAGCTCCGCGGAGCTCCCTCCACCTCTCCAACAATGGCAGCTGTAGCCCGCCCGGAGGCGAACCAGATCCTCACCCACGCCCCGCAAGCGACGACCTTCTCCTTCACCCCCTTCCTCCGCCAGACCTACCGCCACGAGCTCTCCTCCGACCGCCCGCCATGCAAGTCCTTCCTCGCGGGCCACTGCCCCCTCGGCGCCTCCTGCCCAGACCGCCACGCTTCCTCGCCATCCTCTTCCAACAATAACTCCGGCGGCGGCGGCGGCGGGCCCTCGCTGGTCTGCAAGCACTGGCTGCGCGGCCTCTGCAAGAAGGGCGAGAGCTGCGAGTTCCTGCACGAGTACAACCTGCGCAAGATGCCCGAGTGCAACTTCTTCATGCGCAACGGCTACTGCTCCAACGGCGAGGAGTGCCTGTACCTGCACATCGACCCGCAGTCGAAGCTGCCGCCGTGCCCGCACTACGACAAGGGCTTCTGCCCGCTGGGCCCGCGCTGCAGCAAGAAACACGTCCGCCGGAAGCTGTGCGTCTACTACCTCGTCGGCTTCTGTCCCGAGGGCCCCGGGTGCAAGTTCGGCGCGCACCCGCGCTGGAGGACGGACCTGGAGAAGCCGAGCGTCAAGGTTGAGGGCGAGGACGAGAAGAAGGACGGCGAGCGCGAGGACGGCGAGGCGATGCCGATGCAGAGGGAGCAGCGGATGAGGGATATGCACGAGGACCGCGGCCACGGGGACCGGAGGCACGGCCGCGGAGGAGGCAAGTGGCGCGATCGCGGGAACAGGAGGTTTCGTGGGCGTGGTGGTCACTGAGAGGAGCGGCACTGGGTTTCACAAATGGGGAAGGGTATGGGAGAAGGTGTGTATTACAGAGCATTTTTACGGCTTTCCTGCGTGGTACGGCTTGCGACTGCGCTTGGCTTAATGATACCAAAAGTTTATGAATCATGGAGTTCTTCGACAAAATTGATGAGCCTGGAAAGGAAGGACTTGCGATTGCAGTTTGTCGAAGTCGATGCTACTACACTGCAAATTCAGAACGCAATGGTTGGCTCAATTATGCCTGGAAGAACTTGTTGCATCATCATCATTCACAAGAAAAAAAAACCTCAACACTACAAGTTTGCTCCAATGTATGGAAGTTTCGTCAATGATTTGAAGAAGCGGAAATTCATCCGTCCGCCAAACGAAAAAAGAAATCGAGTATGACAGGACTCGAACCTGCAACCACGGCCAACTTGGTAATGAGTACCGGAAGACCGCACGCTAGCCATTGCGCCACATACCCAGTCGATGACTTGCTAGGCCAAAAGTCAGCTTGAGTAGTGTGGGTCTTAGGCGGGTTTGCGTACCCACGAGAAAACATGCGACGAACCCCAGATTTGTAAATGGGCGCATGCAATACCCTGCATTAAGGCATGGCAGTTTCACCGCAAAAAAGAAAAAAAAAACTAAACTCGCTTTTACGCTTACGCTATTGGTGCTGTCCGTTTAAGTGACGTTCGAGTTCAGCCAGCCGATGGCTCTCAGTCAGATCGCCGCTAGATCCGTCGGGTCAACAGCGATGAGGAGCGTCTTGCATTACTCGAAACAACAAGAGTATCTTCAAAACTTCACTTCTTCCGAATTTCATCTCGAACAGAGCCAGGGCTTCTGCAGCCTCCAGCAGAGACAGTTTGGGTGCTGAAAGACCTCCCCTCTGGGCAACGGACGACATCATGTTCTCGAATAGGGCCGAGATCTGGAAAAAGGTGGTTAGGGAAGATCAAGGACGCTTTTTGGCTCCAGGCTCGAAGATACCAGTTGTTACGAGGTGCATAGATGCGGTTTTATGCCGTAATCGATGTCAACGCCCAGAGCCCAATCTGCTTTTCCTTCGAGCATTATAAATAAGTTTTTGGATTTGACAGCTTCATGCTATGCCAGCCAGAAGAGAAAAATAGCAAAGCCGATATACATATGTTGGCTGGCCGCAACCTAGCCAACATGAAGCACTGGTTGAGCTCTGATCCGGACAGTGCTTACGGGCTGGTACCTGACGCAGTACGTGACAGGAGCGAAGAGCCGTGGGAGAAATGAAGGATATTCAACCTTCCGTAGCCTGGCTCGGTGAGTTGTAAATCAGACTTCTGGGGCGTCTTCGGTCCCTGAAAGCAAGAAAATGTGCACAAAATTGAACCTGAAAGAGATCTGATAAATTGTCTGAATCTATGATGCTGCCAATATGCTGTCCACGCGGTTGCGACCATAGCCCGTAATTCTCCAGCATTCTATCAAGCCCAGGTCAATGTCCACTCGGAGCTCCATGCCCCCTTCGAAGTCAAAGACTGCAATCCGTGAATCTTGAGAGCACGAGAAGCCGTGTCCAATGACCAGTTCTCACTTGCAAGAACCTGATCATTCAGAGTCACGGCCGAAACGTCCCGCTTGACTCCCATGATTGTCACGTTGCCGAGAGGGTTAGCGTCCTTGTACTTTCCGGAGGGACTGGCCTTGAGAACGCCGTCCAAGGCGGTGAGCTATACGTCTGTTAGCTTCCAATTTCACGAAAGCGAGCTCAAGAACGTACCTCTACAGTCAGAGTAGCCTCCTGCTCTAAGCTCTCGCCATCGTCCACGTAAAGATTACCCTGCGCACCGCCCTCACTGTCAAGCGCAACCAAGAGCCCCCACGGGTTGGCCCTGCTTTCCGTCGTCGTCTTGCCAGGCTGTTGAGTCGGGATAACGTACCCGCCGCGGAGGTACACAGGAATATGCCCAAGCGGCGCATCGATGGTGACGTTTTGCCCGGAAGTAACTCCAGTGATGGCGGATTGGTTGTACCAGTCATACCAGACGGTGCCCTTTCCAACACCAGGGAAGACGCCATCAACCGTGGTCGCTCCCTGCACAAGACAGGGCGTAACAAGCACAGCCGGCCCAAGCAGGAATTGTCTATCCGCATCCGCCAACCACGGCTCGTCCGCAAACTCCCACACAAGTGCCTTCATCACCGTATCACCCAGAGTGTGCGCCCTGTAAAAGGCAGTGTACATGTACGGCAGCAGCGCGTAGCGGATGGCCATAGCCTTCTTGGACGCGTCCGCCACAGTGCTCCAGCGGTACGGCTCCTGAGGGATGCCCGCGATGGCGTTGTGGTTCCTGTAGAACGGGAAGAAGGCGCTCAGCTGCATCCAGCGCGCGCACAGCTCCATGTCGGCGTTGCCCGCGAAGCCGCACGTGTCGACGCCGAACATTGGGAAGCCGAAGATGCTGAAGCTCAGCGCCTGCGGGATCGAGAAGAACATGTACGCCCAGAGCGAGTAGTTGTCGCCGCCCCAGTGCCCGGCCCACTTGCCAGACCCGGCGAAGGTCGAGCGGCCGATGATGAAGGGGCGCTTGCCCGGGAAGACGGAGAGCAGGGCGTGGTAGGTGGCGTTGAGGATCTGGTGGCCGAAGAGGTTGTGGAAGTCGTACTCTTCGGAGCCGCCGTGATGCGTTGCGTTGGGGGATACGGCGTGCACGGCGAGGTCGCCGTGGATGTGGTCGATCACGTACGGCGGGTGGTTGACGTTGCGGACGCCGGGGGTCGGGGTGGTGCGAAGGTAAGAGGTCGTCGTGGAGGTCGTCTCTGCGTCATTGACGGCGGTGGATTTGGCAGCCTCAGCTGAAGATGAGAGCGCTGAGATGGACGCGGCCTCGGTGGCGTTGGTCTTCTCGAAGCCTTCAGGGTAAGAGTAGTCTTCGTTGCCGGGCTCACCTGGAAGCTGGAACGGGACATGGGCAGGGTTCTGGGTGAGATTCTTGCTTCCGCAGCTGCCCACGCAGAACGAAGCTACTTCGGACATGTCAATCCAGATGCCATCGAAGGCAACCTTCTTGAACCAGGTCTCGAGCTCCGTCTTCCACCAAGCAAACGTCTTGCTCTTACCGAGCACGGCACCAACCCAGTCTGGGAAGACTGTGTAGCCAGGCCACACAGCTCCAACGTAGAGTGAGCCGTCTGGGTTAAGGACAAAGGCGTCTGAGGAAAGCCCTCGATCATAGGTTGGGTAGGCGTCATCTTTCTTATCAGGGTTTGGCGAGTAAATTGCCGAGTCGACAATCGGAACGAAGTGCTGCCCGTTCTTGTGGAGTTTATCGAGAAACTTCTCGCCGTCTTCATATGTCCAACTGTTCTGGTCGTTTTCGAAGTCGCGGTACTGGTTCATGTAATCGATATCGGCTGATGGTAGGTTAGCACATGGCTCTGTTACACCTTGGCGACGCAAGTCTCACCCCAGATCGTTTCAAGTGGAATCTCAAACTTTGCAAAGTCGTCGATGACCTCCTGCAGGTTGTCCCAGCTCGTGTAGCCCCATCTGCATTGATGAAAGCCGAGGGTCCAGT